AATCCCAGCATATGTAATACAAGAAACAGGTATTCGCCACGCATCTGATCAATAAAAAGCACGGCGCACAGATCAGCTCTGACTTTGAAGACGAGAAATTGGGAAACACAAGCCCAGGACAATCGCATTATAGCACTTTCTTCGTCAAGACAAAGCGTTTAGAAATGTTTTGTTTGACCCAGAGTAGAGGAAACTGCCACTAGCTTGGCCTGATTTGAACTAGCGTCGGCGCCTTCCGTTTGCTCGGTACTAGAAGATGATTGCATGTCACCATTGTGCTGTGCATAGCCCTGTGAATCCTCTTTCGCTTCGCTGCTGGCGATAAATTCAACAAGAACGTCGATCGTGGAGGCTTTTCCAACGTTTGGGTAGCCACACGTCCCCACGACGAGCCTTTGATTCGGTTGTGTGATTGGGGCCTTGTGCTCAAAACTCTGCAACTTTTCAATGAGGTCGTGAACACCAACGACTCCAGAGTCGCTTACAGGTTCATTTACGCTAGCTTTGAATGCGAAAAAGAAGATAACATTCATGCTCTGAGCCTTGAAGTAGGCTTCCCAGCGATCGATCAGTTGGTTGAGAAAAGATCAGACTTGTTAAGGACGAGCAGATGTGAACGGCCCATCTCGATAGTTACATACCGGTACATATCCTCGCAGTAATACAAAAGCGGGTTTCTCGCATCCACAATCTGTACAACCACGTCTGAGCACTCGACGACACGCCAAACCTGTCTCCAAACTTCAATGTTCTTTTCAAATAGAGTCATCACGGGGCCAGAGACGGATGAAGAGGGCCGCCTGTTTTCTTCCTCAAGTGTGGCGATTTTTCTCCTCCACCTCAAAAACATGTCCATTTCTTTTGCCAACTGAGTTGAAGTCGTAGTTGAGTCCTAAGGAGGCCTAAGTCGTATTATTAATACTGTTTTGTTGAGGAGATTCCGTTTCTGCGCATTGTGACTCGCTGTAATAATATGGATTCTTCCGGTTCGGTCTTTACCCCGTCACAGAAGGGGTGTCCACGGCAGCGGTAAAATTACAACACCACCAACCTCTCTGCGAGGGCGGCGGTTATGACTCCGGTAAACGGGCGAGTGGAATTGCGACCCCGGAGGGGATAGGGCTCAATGGGCATACGCTTCCACCAGGCGGTGGAACGGCCAAACTGGGGAGCGTGAGCTTCCGGCCCTCAAGAATAACCCGCACGGGACGACCTGCCTCTTTTTCCTCAGTTCTCGCCAAAGGGGGTCGCTGCCCCCATTTACTCTGGGGGCGTACTGCCTCGGCGCCTAAGTAGGTCGACCTCCGGCGGCCGGGCAGTACAGTAGTGATCCACTTCTACTTTGGATCACTACAGTGGAGTACCTCTACTGTACTTCATCGGGGAGTAATCTGCACAGCGGCACACGTGGCTATGCTCCTGCAACTGTACTCGCAGGCAGAGCGCGCACCACGTGTGCTAGCTGGGACTGCCCCGGCTGACACTCCTATTACACTAATTTCTACGCCCCCACAGTAGGAGCTTCTAGTCTACTCTACCCTATCGGGACGTTATACGTACGGCGGTACACGTGTCCATTCCGCCGCCACCTGTCACCCGTGGCGGTACGTGCACCCCGTGTACAAGCTGAGTTATCCCCTGCCTTTCCAGTATTGTCTGATCACCCCTACGGGATCTCCCTCCGGGTTGTTACGTTTACCAACACCGGTCGGTACCCGTTCTCCCACACTCGCCGATGCGGTGTTTTGGTGAAGCGGAGTCATCACAACAGTCTAAAGTGCAAGGGGTTGTGGATATCGCTCTGCAATAAAATCTTCATTGGCCATGGTCGCGTTGAGTATGAACTCTTCCAATTCAGTGGCATCGAGCACAGTAGAGAAGATGAGACAGCAGGAAGACCGGGGGTGGCCGTGAGATGGACGATCTTGGCATTGAGGAGCGCCCGAAGCGGGGGTCACGAGAGGAAGAAGAATTTGATCGGCAGCGTTAGGGCGAGGAGGTGCAGGAGCGGGAGGTCTGGGAGGGCGGCGGTGGCGGCGAACGCGGCGGGAGGGGAGGACGGCGGGGAAAAGGCAGCCAGCAGAAGCAGCAGGGTGGCAAGAAGTGTCGGAGCGACGGCGAGGAAGCGCCAGTCGGGTGCCGCCGAGTAGCAAACTGTTCAGAAACAACTTCAGAAATGTTGCACTATCGCACTGGAAGGAACGGGACGCATTAGTTCCCGTGTCTTAACAACTTCCACCATCCTTTCTCTCTTCCATGAAACAGAGGAAGAACGATATTACGCTCCATTATCTTGTTCTTTTAAAATATTACGCATATCTTCCTTTGCTTGAGCGTACCAATCCTCACTCTGGACTGCAACACGATCGAATGTTTCAATACTTGGAATTGGTTTTGGAATCCCCTCCTCATCTATGAAAAAATTATGGAGCTTCATCGCAATAAGGACAATATGGATATTAGTCTCGACAGTGAAGGATAAATCTTGGAGAATTCTCCATTTTGCCATCAGCATTCTAAATGCTTGTTCCACATGCATTCGCAAGGAAGAATGCAAAAAATTAAATGGGTCCTACCAATCTGTTGCCTGTGATGCTGGATATGGCGTTATTAAAGACTCTGTGCAGATATATGCTTCATCTCCAGCAACCCAAAACGCGTAGTGTAGTAGACCAGCCATAAAATATTCTCCCAAACTTAAAACCGCGTGCGCTATGGAGTCGTGCGTGTTTCCTACGCATCTTGACGAAAAACACAAAACCGATAGTTTGAATCAACAATTGCTTGCACTGGGATAGCGTAGTAATGTTTCCAGCACCAATCTGCCGCGGGATTCAGATCAGTTTCGGGCTTTCTAATCTTGATGGCAATGCTATCTAGGGCTCCCACGCAGCAGGAAAGGGGGCTTCCTGGCTTTCGAGATACTGTAAAGGCCTCTGCAGATTGTCTTAATGCCGTCTCATCCTTTGGAAGGCCTGGTAAACATAAAACCGACATAATAGCGTGACAAGTGTCCTTAAAGACCTGGTAAAGGGTGCTCTTGGGTGTGTTGTATACAGATATTATATCCAAGTAACTGGATCCGGCCAACAGCCTCAAAGTTACCGCAAGACGTACTGCGGGACTGACTATTTCCCTTCCTACTCTTTTAGACATTTCTCTATTTCGTTCCAGATGCGGCTTTAACATCTTGAGCAGCTTGTAGAATGAGTCTCTCGACATTCGGAAACAACGGCGAAAAAATGTTTCATCATAATACTTCGTCACCTCTTCAAACGATTTTCTTTCTCCAAATGTGGGAGAATTAGCAACTGTATGGTACTTAGTTTTGCGAGAGTGACAGGAAAAATGTTGCGTCAGTGTAGCAATGATTGATACGACACGTGCAACCAAAACTATTTTCTTCTTCTTTTGCAGCTTCGCGCGGAGCAGAAAGTGAGATGACATAGTTAAGTGATCGGAAACGTATGACTCAGAGGGAGGGAAGGCCAAAACAGAATGCTGTACAAAATTATTATCCTACATGATAGAATGGATTGCAATGGGCATGATTGTATCGTCTGTTAGACGACGATAGACCTTCCTTTGATCTCGAACAGATCACGGCCGTCCGCCCTGATCCGAATTCAACATAGCACTGCTCGGTAGATTGTTATTAACACTGTAAAGAGACCTCTTGCGAACCAATGTTTCCTACAGCACGGAAAGTCCTTTCGCAGAAAATTACGTCACATCTTGCACCGACCGCTTAGATATCCCGCGACGCAAATGGTTGTGATAGCGTGCAGAAGCTGAAAGAGAAGGATGATTGCACTAATCCATCATGGAAGACCGAGAGTGGGTTTAGGTATGAGGGAATGCGAGGTGTGGATGAAGATAGGGGGGATAGTTGCTGAAATATCAAGGGGAGACTTGACCTCGTGTTGAACCACAGGGAAGGAAGAGGTTTTCTTGGTACTGTACTTTCAAGGTTTTGTTACGAGATAGACCTGAGATGAGTATCGTCCTGGCCATGTGGATCCGGATCCGGATGGGCGAGCTGTGACTTCTACTACTTACAGTAGAAAGCGCACAGTGTCAAATACATTTTTTGAATATTCTAAGAAAATCGGTATGATAGCGGTGGTGTCGGGCAAGAAATTCGCTCTGTTAAGACCGGGGGTGAGTACGACGGTGTGAGGGTGAGTATGATGGGACTGTACTGTATTTGGTTCTCACTGGTGGGAATGCCTTTTTCGAACTATCAAATAACCAAATACCCAAACAACCAAATTTCAGGGAGCCAACCAAATGCCAGAAAAAGCATGCCAAGTGTTGTTATTTGATAATTTGATCACGTACCGGTGGGGATGCTCTAAGAGCATCACAACCGGTAGGTGATCAAATGACCAAAACAAGAACATTTGGCACGTTTAAGAGAACCTATAATATTCACGCAGCCAGTCACGGGGAGCGGAGTGTTCAGACCTACGGCGCCAATGATGAGCGGGTTTGTGGAAAACGCTTTCTCTGAGCCATAAAACACAGAAAAAGACAAAGCCTCGCCGATGCGCGGAGATGATGCGCTTTCCGTTCCGCCGTTTTCGACACATCCCCTTGCCTCGATCCGTCTCTCCTGATCTCCGCCCGTTCACGTCCACCACCTCTGCTGCCATGAAGTTTAACACGCTCGGCACCTCCGGCCTCTCCGTCTCCGACGTGTGCCTTGGCACAATGACATGGGGCGTGCAGAACACGGAGGCGGAGGCTCACGAACAGCTGGACTATGCCCTCGCCAAAGGTGTCAACTTTCTTGATACGGCAGAACTTTATCCAGTTCCGTCCTCGGCACCAAAATGGGTTCCGGGCAAGTCCGAGGAGTACATTGGCACCTACTTGGCCACCCGTCCCGGTCTGCGTGAAAAGATTGTCATCGCCACAAAATGTATGGGATTCGCGCCAAAGTCCATCGTCGTGGAAAACCGCAAGGAGGGTGCTGAATTGGACAAGAAGGACGGGATGCCCAGTAGGCTTGATAAAAAGAGCATCAGGGAGGCTTGTGAGGCTAGCTTGAGGAGGATGCAGACAGATTATATTGACTTGTATCAGCTCCACTGGCCAGATCGTTATGTCCCGCTATTCGGCACGCGCAGCTACAATCCCGATCAAGAACGACCCGGCTCCGTGCCCATCCGCGAGACGCTCGAGGGCCTCAAAGAGCTGCTGGATGAGGGCAAGATCAAGGCTTATGGCTTGTCCAACGAGACTACCTTTGGCGTGTGTGAGTTTGTCCGCCTCGCCGATGAGCTCGGCATGCCACGCCCGGCGACCATCCAGAACGCCTTCTGTCTACTCAATCGCTCATTCGAAGCAGAGCTTGCCGAGGCGTGTTCGCCATCAAACTTTAACATCGGTCTGCTGCCGTGGTCCGTGCTGGCGGGGGGCGTGCTCACCGGGAAGTACAACGGCAAGCTAGACGATAACTTTGAGCCGATGGACAACAGCTTGGAGAGAGCTAGATTTGTCTTATTTAAAAGCTTTCAAGGCCATTTTGTCTCGAAGCAGACGTTAGGGGTCGCGGAGCAGTACATGCAGATCGCCAAGAGCAAAGGCATGTCCGTGGCTACGCTGGCCCAAGCGTTTTGTAAGACTAGATGGTATATCCCGTCCACTATCATCGGTGCGACAACGATCGCACAGCTCAAGGAGAATATCGAGGCGTTTGATGTCGAACTTGACAAGGAGTCGCTTGATGCCATCGACCAGGTGCACAGGGCGTGCAAGGACCCTTGCCTTGATCTATGATGATTGGCAGTGACCGATCACCACCAGCTACTTGCTCTGGGTGCTTCGACAAAGTTTTTTGGACAGTGCGGGCATTTTTAACGCCAGCACGGTCCACCAAACCGTAGCAAATTTCCCCGGAATCACACTCGGGCTAATTGGGAGAGCTAATTAGTAGAGCTGTTAGGGTGTTAGATGTAGTAAGTTTGCAGGGCGAGAGAAAATCGATCTAGCAATTTTCAAACCTGATGCAATTCTCCCGAAGATTTAAATAGATGCCTGTTGTTCATCGCAGCAGCCTTGGTCTTTGCGTATTTTGTTCTTGCCCGACAGTGTTCATAATAGTGGATTTCTCGGACATCTCACTACACCTGCACTGCCGTTCATCTACATAAAACGGAGCAGCGCCAACGGAGGTCGATGTTCCTGGGCATGCAACACGGAGCAGAGATTGTTTGTCAGCAATTATCAGTTTTTTGAACACTTCAGTAGATCAAATCCAGTCCGGGTAGCCATATGGATGGAAACAGACGGATGTCGCCAATTCCGTGGCACAGAACTGCAGTACGACGATGACCGACTCCGAGATTGAATCTTTATGCCTGAAATAATGCAAGCACGCGAAAATACACAATTCTACAAAACTTTGCATTCCCATAGCCCGAGTGGTGTCTGACGGCTCTTCTCCAGGCTCAGTTTTATATGGCAGTGGAACGAAAGGGTATCTATAGTAAAGAAAAGAAGATAGTTACTCTAGCTCCACCAAAGCCACAATCCTTCCTCGGCAACCTGGCTAACCCGGCTAAAGCCTTGCAGCATGAGTCTGCGTTATGGGGAAACAGTCGAAGCGGGCCCTCCAACTCGCCTCTGCGGCTGGTTTGAACGCCATTTGACGTTTTGGGGCGTTCACCGCTGGCTCGAGCTTAACGGGTCCACTCTAACTTATCGCCACCGTGAACATGGCCCAGTAGTCTGGATTTGCGACCTACGCGAGACGCAGTTCTTCGCGGGCAGTAATCCTTGTGAACTTGTGCTATGCCGAAATGGGATAGAGCCCTTGAGTCTCTTCGCCCCTACTTTGAAGGACCTCAAGATTTGGTTTGCTCAGATGAAGAAAGTATCAGATGTGAGTTGACAATATCGCGATGCAAGTACTATTTATTTGCCTTTCGTTTTATCTTCAATTCTTTACTTACAAGCTGCTCTTTGGTCTTTCTTTTTGTCCACCTTATCTGTTTTTCTTCGGATTGCACCTGCAGGGAGTGCATGACTTTTACCATTTTTCTGCGAAGGCTGGGCGCACCCGCTATGGCGTTATACACCTCGGCTGCGACAAGAAAGACCAGGAAGATGTTGCTATTTACACAGTAGAAAAAGGATATCTTCCGTTGCAAAAGGTTTTGATATTGGCAAAGCGTGATCTGGCCATCGTAGAGGCGACGCAAACCCATGACTCTATAGTCCGCGTAGTCGACCTCTTTGAATCGAGCATGCGATTCTACATTGTCACGGAACTCATCAACGGAGGCACCCTTTCAAGCTTTTTGGCCCAACCGTTGCCAGAGGCCATTGTCATTGACATGATGGCGGACATTCTTCAGGGACTGCAGCACTTGCATTCGCGAGAAATCGTCCACGGGAATCTAGACCCTGAAAGCATCGTTTGCTTGAGCCGGCGACTTCCATGCCGAGTGAAGATAGTTGCGTACGGAAACGCGGCGGCCAGGCGCGATGTAAGACTCCTCGGGGGTGCATCTTTAAAAAATTGGCAGCAACTCGCTCCAGAAGTAGTGTGCTTTCAGAGGCGCACTACTGCGTCAGATGTGTTCGCTGCTGGGAGTTTGATGTATCGCATGCTGTCCGGGATGAATCCGTTCAAGGCAAACAACGAAGCGGCGTATCTAGCCTGTGTATCGAGGGGGATTTCGGTTGAGGATAACGTGTGGGATGGGATCAGCAATGAGGCGAAGAGTCTAGTGCATCGGATGTTGGACGATGATGCGAGCGTTAGACCGAGCGCGAGTGATTGCTTGAATTCTGCCTGGTTTCGAGATAGCATTGGGGATGCAGACCCCGCGGAATCAAGGGATGAGATCTTGCGGATGCAGTCAGATCCGAAAACAGTCATCATGGATTTCGAGCAAGGGAGGTCGTTTGGAGGGCATGCTATTAGTAGAAACAAGAAGGTAGATACCTACAGCTTATCGTATGGGAATTAGTTTGTGGTAAGGCTTGTGGTGCCTCCATTCTATATAGCTGATTTATCCAGGGCATCTCCACCTTTTCGCTAGATCGTTTCTCTCGATGCTGTCAAGCATACGTTGATGCAGTTCTGTCTCGGACAGTGGTTCAGTTGTTTTGCAGAGAAAAAAGGTGTCTCCATTTGGTTGAAAGGGAAGGGAAACGCTTTATAAGAGAAGGGTTGTGAAGGGAATGCCAGTTGTGGAGAAAGAAGATCTAGCATTGCTGCTGTCGTTACAGAGGTGGTGGTGGGCACATCAAGAATGCAGAATGAAAATGGTAGTCGAAGCTGCAGAGAGAGTAGTGATGAGGTGAAATAGTTTGTTTCGTGGTGTGGGACGACTGGAGACGACTAAAGTGCGAGGAGCGGGCTGTGGTTGTGTTTTCTGCAAACCTTGGCGTTACCCGAAGGTGAAGTCAAGCAATTGTGATGGTAGCCACTTCTGGCCTCGATGCTGTACAGGACTCACAGTACCCTTCTCACCGGCTTAATTTGGGCCACTTCCAAATCACGAGCATCTAGTGTCTAGGTGACAAATGACCTCATATGAGGTCACTTTTCAACTTATTTTTCTCGACTTGTGCTAGCTCAACAAGATGGAAAAAAGAGACTCTCGACACGGCAGTTGACTTCTGCGTTGTGGAAGGGTGGAGTTTGGTGAGATCTGCACGTCTTTTCCAGCCATTTTTAAAATGCCCAAAAAGGAGCCTTTTTTGACCAATCTCAAAACGTTTTATGTTGATATCTTCGAAACCAAAACGCCTGTTTAAAAAGTCAACTCATCATTGATAGTTCATTAGATTCTTAGTCTCTCTGTGCATTGACAACCGCCATCCCAATGTTTTGCAAGATGTTATTGCCGAGCGCGTATACGTTAAAGAAATGGTGTCCAAACTGAATGTTTTAAAGTTTCGATTTAATTTATATATTTTTGCAAAAAAAAGCTGGCCTCATATGAGGCCATGACTGACCTCATATGAGGTCAAATTGCTTTTCGTCTAGACACTAGCCCTCCCCGCCTTCCCAAAATCCCCCCAGTCCATCTCACCAACTCATACCGCGCACTCCGACAGAGAAGCCCTCCCTCCTCCTCTGTAAGCGACGTTCGGCTCGGTGGTGGCAGTATGCCACCGTCAATGAGAGCGCAAACTCTCACACACAAGAAAAGAATCACGAAAAGAAGAGAGGAGGGTGCTCGCCGCGCCAAGCTTCTTTCGTTAATCCAAAGAGGTGAAAGCGCACGCAAAGCATCCCGAGACACAGGCGTGTCCCGCACAACAGCCACGCGAATAAAAAAGGCCTACGAAAGCTCAGAGACGGACGAGCTAAAAAAATGCTAGATCCAGAAGGCAATCATGCTGGCCGCACGACAGTGTTGTCGGCAGACGAGGAACGCCTTTTAGTCAACAGAACGCTTCATGCCGCGCGGCGTGGATTTGCTGTTGATAATGCTGTTATGAGCACAGTGCACGCCAAAATAGCTCCGGCAGACACAAAGCATATTCTCTAACCCTGTCATCAATTCTTCAATCGATCATTCCAGCGCACAGTTAGGGAAAAACAAGACCATCTTCTGTCTCTGAGCCATTTGTCGTGGGCAAATACTGCGTACAAGATCACACTGGACGTGGCCGGATACCAGTCCATTTCGCCGGAGGATGCCAGGTCCTCATTCATAAAATGTGGCTTGTGGCCTATGAACTATCGTTTTGTCCATTTCGCGACATTTTAAGGGTCCACAAATGGGTCTACAGGGGAGCATGAGGATGCTCCTTGCAGTGACGAGCGTGTTTTGATGGGGCAAAGAACAAATGTGGCCGCACGGGTCACCAACATGAGACTACAATCTAAAATTCATGCGTTAACAGACGGTAGGATACCAGCGTCACAAGCGTTCGCAAAGGTATCCTGTGTCCATCGGTCAGATTATCGAGTTCAAAACGTTCTGATGAGCGAGATACGAGCTCCAAAATGGCGGTTATGAATCGATGAGGACGCAAAAAGGTGGTAAAATGCAAGCGGCCGCAGTGTTGACTTCGAAAGTCTCTCACACCAACTACAACTTTAAATGTGTATCGCATGTGGAAGACGTAAGCTCAAAGGCTTTCGAATGTCGCAGTCGTGCTTTGTCGAGCAATTTGAAATCTGAAAAAGAAAACAGGGCGCCTGTCGAGGGCGATGGCATTGCGCGTAACTTAGAGAGTAGGTTTTGGGCTTCTCTTGATAATGTTCCCCTAAAACAGTGGCCACGGCGATCGGCGGTTGGGTTGCAGGGGAACAAAGGGGGTTCTCGTGGAGATCGGCACGAATCCGCGGCGCGAACGTTGCTCGGCCTGTCGCAACTGAGGTGAAAGTGCCGCGGGGAGGTGGCCCAAAATGAGCCGGATGGCCTGGAGAGCTGCCATCCAAAGATTTTTGGTACCGGGAAACTGGCCAGTACTGGGGTAAAATGACCGATTTTTTGAAAATTCTAAACCGACCCAAATTGAGCCGGTGAGAAGGGTACAGTACCCGGACTGCTGTACTAAATCTGAATTTATCAAACTTGAGTATTGTTTGGTGAGGAGAGGAAGAAACAGCGAATAAACGTGTATGGATGAGGAATTTTAATTGGTAAGGTGCTCTACTTTGAAGAAGAGTTTTTTTTTAAATAGAATTCAGGGTGGGAAGCAAATCGTATCCCTTCTCCTAAACGATTTACTGTACAACACAGATGTACCGTACCTGGCGAGTCTGCAAGCAGCCAATAATCAAGTATTACGCAACACTACCCTTCGCAGGGAAGTGCATGACTCCATACTCATGCAGTATGGAGAGTGATTCCATGTTTCGTTGTGGTATCTTTGTCCTATCGCCATATCTGACTGGAGATTGTGGGGTGAATGCCTTGGAAACTGGTGTTGGAATTATGTAATCCATTTGCCATGTGGTTCCAGCGTGAACTGCCTTCTGCCAACCTTGCCACAGGACGGTGGAAAAACAAGGCGTCGGCAGAACAGAAGGTACGCCCCTTAGCGGGGGATAATGCGGTGTACTGAAGAAGGGACCAAATTCGATGCTGCCTCTGGTCGTCTCAAAGTGCATGGTTTATCCTGGTTTATCTCCATGCTTCGTACGCTACACTCTCTGGAAAAAGAAAAGAGGGAAGTTTGGTTTTAGCGGTGGCCACCAAGCGGCTCGCCACAGAGTGGACATACCGTACACCGTACAGTACATCTGTTCGACGTTGACATGACGTGCATCGGGCAAGGATCGAGCGGCAAGGCGACAAACTACCGTATGTTGACATGTGCAACGTACGGTAGACCAGTCGGGTGCCTCCGTCCCCGTTTCCTGACGTGTTGGCGACCGCGACACGCCATATCGCAAGATTGCAAGATCGCAAGATTGCAAGATCGCAAGCAAGATTTCTGCGTCCGTACGGTACAGCGCATGGGAAATGTGGCTGGGAAAGTGTTTGGCGGCTGCACGCAGGCTTGGTGGACAGGTCATTGGGCGTGACAGATTCTCGTTATTTCCTGGACGTGATAGTTGGATGCAGGCGGGGCCGGCGGGAGGGGAAAAGTGGGAGGGCGGCGAAAGCGGGAAGGCTTTACGTGAGCATCTGATCTAATAAAGGGCGGGGCTGGTTTCAACGTTAGGAAGCGAAAAGGAAGGCGGAAAGTGGTGCCTGATGAGGCCGTTGGCCCGGCGAGGGCACGCGGAAGAAGAGGTTTTAGCACAGGGCGCAAGCGGTATAATTGTTGCGGTGTTACTGTACGTTGGTCTTGACGCACGACTGTAAGTGCACGTGCTTGCCCGGCGATGACGGGGCCCAATGGAACGTTGCCGCTCGGAAACACAGAAGCGCGGGGACGATGATGTGGCCACCTTGCCGGGATCACAAGTTGCGTGGGTCGCCTCGGCATGCAGCCGACGGACATGGAAATTGACGTGGAAGTCGACGTGGAAATCGACGTGGAAATCGAGTGGAAATAAGGTGCGTCGGCCGGTATGCGGCACTTTTTCTGTACGCCATCCGTCCACCCCCGCCATCGGAGCATCCCCATCTGAAGCCGTAGATGCTGTGTACAGACACAGCCTCTGAAACTTGTCCACGTGCCCAATCAATGATGAAGGTAGCAAGGTGGGCGGTGGTACAGTGCGGATTTCGGGCCAACGCTTCAGGCGATGGAGGCGGCACAGTCGTAATTACAGCTGCGGCATGTTTACCCATGCTGCCCCGCGCGGCGGTTTACGGGGGCTGGCGCGTCGTCACCCGCATGAAACATTACAGAGACATGTTCCAAGCGCTTCCAGACCGCAAACGTCACCTCCATCCCCGCCAATGCCGCGCACCGTTCCAAATTCCTACATTTGTACCTCTAGCGCGTCCCTACGTCCGAGCGACTGCCATTCTTCCACGTACCCGTCCATGCCCCTGGAGGTACAGTATCTTCTGTACAGCTCGCATTCCTCAACATTCCCCCGCCCCGTTTCTTCAGTATCCACGGGGCGTGCCATGAGTTCAAACCTTCTCTTTCCCTTCGCCTGCACCCCTCTGCCCACCCGCACTCACACTTCCTTTCCCTCCTCGCTTTCCACCATCACCGCTCTTCCGCCCCCACCCGTTTCCACCAACCCCCCCTTCCCTCCTCGCCACCTACGCCTCACTGCTCTAAACTGAAATCTTCCCACCCCCCTCGTCCCGCCGTTACTTTCTCCTACTTGTTCACCTCGTTCTCCTATCTACTACCTGCTTTTCACCTTCCCGACCCCGCCAACCACCCCGAAAATGTCTTCGACAGACCCTCCTACTCAGATGCGTATCCACGTCGACCCGAGCGGCGATGTCGAGTTCTCAGTGTCCCTCACGGGCTCTGTCGATCCCTCAATCGTCGCCACTATGGTTGCTGCCGTCCGAGCCGGCATCGTCAACGCCCCCCCGCCCCCGCCGAAGCCCCCCGTTCCAGCACCCCGTTCCCCGCCCTCCTCTCTGCACTCCACTGAACCGTCCCTCCTCCGCAACCCACCACTTCATCATCAAGACCCAAACTCGGACCCCGACCAGGACACCGCCACCCCCAACGGCGGATTCGACGAAGTCGAATCCCCCGACTCAACGCCCATGCTTTCAGTCCAGCAGATTGCCGCCCGTCTCGATGCTGCCCACGCTGACGACCATTCTTTCCCACATTCCTCCACCCCGTCTGACTTCACCCGATACGACCATGTCCGCGAGTTTGCCTCCTCACCCTCGCTATGTCTCGCAAGCACACATCACTGTGTCCAGCAGTTCTCTCATCAGCGACCAGCCGTCCAACCATCTCAGCCCCCACCGCTCGCCTGTACCGCCCCAGACGCACAGAAGCAGCAACACCTCAGTTGCTCCTTTCCCGCCAAGCGAAGCATCCATCCTGACCGCAGCGAGTCTAATCAAACACTCTCGTACCCATTTCCCACACGCCCCATCCGCATGCAGTCGCTTCCTGCTGGTTCCAAGTACCAGTCTATCAACGACATCTATTTCGCCGAGCCCAGTTCCTGCATTCAAGTTCACGCCATGCCCCAGCCGAAATCCGTCTCTGCCTTCCCTGCTCGCCCACCCCTTCTCACACCCCCTCAGTCTCGACGGCTCTCAGATGCCCATCACGACGTCACGGCCCACGGGTCGCACCGTTCCACGCCGCGCAGGGATCGCGTCACGGCTGCGGATGTGTATGATAAGGGCGCGAGCTCGCGCTCCCTTCGGAAGCGGAGGTCTTCGGAAGTCGATGTCTCGTGCCCAACCTTCTACGACGGCGAGCACGAGCGCACAGATGCTCCCTTGAGTCGGTATGTACAAATGAGCGAGGGAGAAGAAGACTTTGACGCTTTTGAAAATGTGGAATACGTGCTTACCGAAAGATATCGAGACGACCCGAGGGCATCCGCTGTCGATCCAGACGTAAACACGCCAAAGTCAGGTGCTTGGCGCTTGATTTCTTCCATTGGCAGTCCATTTACAAAACGTAAGACAGATGCAGACGAGGACGTGTACCAGAGTACCTTGGCGATGGGTCAGAGCCGGCTGCAACCCAACAAGGCTGCGGGCAAGGGCCGCCGGCAACTGACATTTTTCGGACTTCGAGGAACGAAGAACGATGACGTGTGGTTAGAGTTTTCTTGCTCACTACCTGTGGAACGGTTGCTTAACGAGGTGGGTAAGATTACAAAGTCGCTCGGATATCAGGTGTGGAGGCGACCAAGCGAGAATAAGTTGCGATGCATTCGACAACTTAACCATCGTCACGAAATGCACATGGTCATTTTCGTCGGGTCTATCCGGTTACCAGAGGGGATTGTGAGCATGGTTCGATTGAAGAGGGCGAGGGGAGATAGGAATAGAACCCCGGCGTGGCGGTACAGCAACTTCTACCGCGAGCTCATGGAGCGCTTGCAGCGAAATGGTATACCGGTGACTTCAGATAGCTGAGAGGAGTGGTGATGAGTTCGCTAACGCATCACGCTTTTTGTCCCGCCTTGCACGGAAGAGCTCCTCAGACGTGCTCAAGCTTGGTGCTACTGCTCTTGCCGGCGATGGAAGCCACGTTATGTCAAAGGTTTTTCGGAGGGTGTGTGTGTGTGTGCGTAGGACATGTGCCAAATATTTGATTCGTCGTCGAAAGCATAGCTCAAATTGCTAATCATTGCGGCCACGTCATGCGCACTTTTATTCTGTCTGTGGACACTGTCCACAGGACCTTCGCATATGGGAATGCGTGGTCAGCAGTTGCGATTCACCTGTATGAGGAAAATGCTAATTTTAGAAGCTGTCATGCTAACATTATACATTTGCTCTAGTTTATGAAGATTAAGACTGGGCTTTGATATTCACATCGGTCTTGTTCAACACAGGCCGCCATGTGGTTTATTGTTTTACCTCTTTGACCGCCGTTAGAGGTGCATCGGTCCGCCATACGTCTCGGTCTGTTACGCGGTCATAAATCTAATATTTTTGTCGCAAGCAAGGGGGGCACAGACCCCTTCGGCGTTTCAGGCCGCATTCGGTTTGTACGCGTTGAAGGCAATTTCCGCACTAGTTGCCCTCTCGTTGACCTCACAGACTCCCGCTCTCTGAGACGGCACATGAATTGCAGAACGGGTAGAAAGCCCAAAACAAGAGTTTCAAGTTTACACAGACGCCATTGGGCTTCTTCAGTTTACATGAAGTCAGTCCGATCGAAGCTCGAACTTCTCTATCTCCACGCCCTTGGCCGTCACCTTGGCCAATTCCACGATATCTCCAGTGTAAATGTCACGTTCACCGGCGGACGTAAACGCGTCCTTTACGAGTTCGACGCACGGTTCCAAAGACAGTTCCTCTGGCTTCTTCTCCGGTGCCGTTTGCCTAAACTCGACCTGATTATCTAGGATCGGCTGCAAAAGATTCTGTCCCGTACCGCTGCAAACTGCACGCACTTTCTCATGCGAACCAATGGCATCGTATGAATAGCTCCAGCCGTGCCCTGCTCAGACGCACACAGCAAAAAGTAGAATTAGCATAGCGTTATGCGTGTTAGTATTGTCTGTACAGTTAATCTCGCCCAATTGTCAGCCTACGCAGAACGCCTCTGAAATGGTTCCCTGAATCTAAGCTTGTCCAATACTCTCTTACAAGACATCACCGCGCTCTTCTTGGGAATCCGGTGTCGCGTCAAGGTTGTAGAGACTGCGCTGCGACTAACGTCATGCGTTATCTGTCATCGGCGCTGGCAAAGGTGTGATAAACTACTCGGGATTGGAATTCTTACCTTCAGCGTCAATACCGCCCAAAACATTGAAGGTGTAGTAGGGCTGAAAACGGCGATAGTACAACATCGTGGAAAGCATTTGTGAAATTGCTGTGAGCGACATCTCCTGATGGTGTGCATACTGATATTGTGTCAAGCGGATCCTCAACACCTTATGCAAAACGGCGATATCACTCTGCATTCCGCTGCTCGCGAGCACGCATTTGTCCGTCAATTTGATGATTCTGCTCACGTTCCTTGACGGTACCGAATAGCCAGAGCCTAGTCTAGTATCACTCGCGATGACGGAGTAATCCTTTCCCGACACCGCAACGACAGTTCCCCCATTGTTCTTGTACGGTTGGAAACGGCGCCCCATGGGACCGATCGCGCGTGGTTTGCCATGTGGGTTGGATGAGTTACCTACCTCCAATGGATCTTCGGGATCTACGTGCTCGCCAAGGGTGAAGCCGCGTGGGGCGTTTCCGGGAGCTGTGTATGGCAGTCCCATCACGGATGCGTTTGGACGGAGGACTGACATTGCGAGCGAAACGAGAAACACAATTCGCCTCGTAGACTTGCTGAGCGTTTGAAGGTATGCGATAAACGGCCTTCGAACTTGTTTTGAAGTTGATGCTCGAGAAAGAGGCGTTCAACAAGAGATCGACGTAAGTTCACCCACGATCGATGAATGGTGCTCGGCAATGTGTGCTGGAATGCGGAGGTGAGACATGCGACAATTCCGTGATGCCTGGAAGACGAAGTAATTAGAAATTTGGACCCATTTTCCAAATGCAAAAGTACATAAATAATTAACAAACTTATGGATAGTGTTCACGTGTACGCGTGTACCACTACGTGTAGCGTCAAAGGTCCACTCGCAGACTTCGGTGGTATTCACTTGCGTAGACGAATCGTCTGACCAAGACACGACACGCCAGAGAAGGCGGCAACAGGGCTCTTTTTCTATGTCGTACAGTGCAGAGCTGTAGCAGAATCTGATCAGCGAAAATTCACCGCACGAAAGTGCCATATTGCACGTATCTTTGAAGTTCAAACTTCGAAGTGATTTGTCCAGAAGGACCCCAGACGTACGGAATGCATCCGTATCTGACTTGGTATATTTCGAGAGAAAAGAGCAGAGCGGAGCTAAAAACATGACGGTTTAAGCAAGGTGCATCCTGTCCGACTGCCCACGGAAAGGACTCTATCTCCACCCAGCGCAAAAGAAAGGTGTGAAGAAATGACCAGCCCCCAGTTCAAAATTAGCGCTGGTCAACTTGGGATTGGCAACGTCATCATGTTACAGTTCAGTGCTCAGTACCACCCAAGAAGACAGCTACCACGCGTCATGTTCACATCTAGTTTAAATAATTTTCCCTTATTTCAAGAAATATCGCTCAGGTGTCTGAAGACGACCTTTTCATGGCGGGTGGGATAGTATCCCTCAGAACAGTGCACCTCCCAGGACAATAAAGATCGCGTTTCAACATATGGCTGCGATACTCCAAACCGGTGGGGGCTTTGAGCCTATCACCAGCCTCTTCGCCCCAAGGCACACTCACACTGGGAGGATGACGCCATCGAAAAAAGCCTCACAAAGGCTTACAGATTCGGCATTTTGAAAGAAGAATCTCAAGGTACATTTATCCAGTTACAGTATTTTTTGAGTATAGCGAACGTGACGGCGATACGGACAGACAAAAGCCATTGACATCGAACACTATCAAAAGCTACCGAAACGTAGACGAAGCTTTTTCGATAAATGGCTTGGCATTGAGAAGGCATGCATGGAGCCATGCCACAAAATTGCGTGAGGTATCCTTGAAAAGTAGTCCGACGCCCTCTGATGAGCAGGTGCAGTGATGCGTAAGGACATCGCCTTTGGTTAACTCCTTACACAGCATTACATCATGTCTGGAGAAAGCCAGCTTTGAATTCATGTATTCCATTGGACCACTTGTGCAAAAGGATCAAAAAGAATCCAATAACGAGTGCTTGACGTCTATTGCTGATTTCTGATTTTGATGGCTCTGGAGATCCAGCGTGATAGCTCAAAGAAACGATTGAATTAGCAAAATAATATAATTTGACTATACGTGACAATAACCGCACGATCGTGACAGATTGATCGTGTCCGCAACATCACGTCATGGGCGGCTTTCTCTCCTCCCAGCCTGCTACAATATTCTTGCCCAGCTGAAAGCACCACAGTGCAAAGACTTGTTCACTTTTACCGGCACGGTGAGAAGGATCCTCTCCCTCTCCACGCGAACTCTTACGTCAGGGCTTAGCAGTAGCCATGAGGAGCACCGAGTTTACAGGCCAAACACATTCATCAACCCTGTGGCTGCACGCTTGCTGGCGATATGTTTCTTCCTGATACACATTCCATCAAGGTGAAATGACACCAAAGCCGGGAGCTTGTGGTAAAGAGTAGAAATCTCATCAAAAAGGCGAACATAAGCTTGTAAGGGTGAAAGAGCGATGCAAACAACTCAAGTTGCGGGCACCAACATCCTTACGCACACAGCCCAAATGTAGTGGTGCCCAAATGTAACAGAGTCCCCAAACCCATCACCTACTCTTTCCACGAAGTCAATAGTGTAGCTCTCAAGCAGACATGCTTTAGTGTTTGGATCTATGATCTAATGAAGTAACACTTCACAGGAAGCGATACCGACGATTGACAACTTAGTCTACAAATTGTCCGGTACCACAAGTGGCTTTGAGGAGCTGCAGTAGCTAAACCCAGCAATCACGCGCTCATCCTCAACGAGTCGCCGTCTAGCTTTCGAAATTGGCCATAAGCTAGAGTCACCATAATTTGGATCGTCATGGTCGTTGTCCACGCTAATCTTGCCCCATTCGCTCATATCAAAATTCCTCAAATCGTCTTGTTCCGCTGCCGCTGCCATCTTTTCGCGTAGCGATATGTTAGTATTTTGTTCTTGCTCACTTGCAATCCGGGATAACTTGGCGTTTCCGCTCGTAGGACTTGCGCGATTCCCATTCAAATTACCAAGGGACTTTGGTCTAAACAGTCGCTTTGTTTTTGTAGCCATTCGGTTTGAGCTTTCAATTTCATCTGATTCAGTCCCGGTGCTAGCCCCAGCTGGTATGACCGCAACCGGAGAGCTTTTCTCGCTCCCCTTACTGCCTATCGGAGATCCGTGCTCCGTCCCACTGCTCTTCGAATCCGACTGTCCTTTTCCGCTATCACCGCTTCCAACTGAAGTCTTGCGCAAGACCTGCGCAGACGGGGTCTCTCCGGGGTTGTTAGCAATGCGCGCAGTGACACATTGGGTGAGGGCATGTGGAGCTGGTGACGGAGGCGGTGGTGGAGGTACGGAATCCCGTACCGACCGTTTCAAGCGATGAGGAGGTCCCATTAGATTGCAGCGCTTGGCTTTTGCAAACAGGCCTCCCTCATCGTTTTCTTTTGTGTAGACCTTCTTCCAGTCAACACCAGCGAAGAATGAATGACCGCGAACTTCGATCATTCCTGCCATGCCGCAACCAAGTCTTGTTTCTGGATTCCAGTCTAACAATTTCTTGATCATAGATACCAGTTCTGGGGATGTAGTTGACGAAAACCTGATACGTCTATTATTCATGTTTGCGATGACTTGATCAAGGTCTCTGGCCTCATATGGGGTTCTTCCACGTAGAATATGGTACACAAACACACCATATGCCCACAAATCGATTGACTTTCCATAGTTTCTGACCGCAAGCATTTCTGGTGCGGCATAGGTGTGAGTGCCACAAATTGTATTTGTCAGCGCCCGATTAGGTATCAATTTACAAAGGCCAAAGTCTGCGAGACGAACATGGCCGCGGCTGTCCAACAAGACATTCTCCGGTTTCAGGTCTCTGTAAACAAAGCCAAGTTTGTGCAAATGCTCCAGTGCGAGAGAGACCTCGGCCGCAACACTTCTGACTTGACTTTCTAGTAGTCGGCCTTGGTGAGTGCGAAGGTACTGATAGAGATCACCTCCATCATAAAAATCGATCGCCAAATAGAAATAAGCCCTTGTTTGGAAAGCGTAGCGCAATCTGGAGAAAAACGGGTGACCATCAACCATCTCCAGGGCAAGGCGTTCATCGAGAGCGTGTCGAAAACCGCTGCACGATTCAAACACCTTGGCCTTGTCAATGACCTTCAAAGCAAGCTTTTCGCCAGTCTTACGGTCAGCTACGAGAAAAACTTTTCCGGACGCACCTTTGCCAATAGGACTGATAAATTCGAAGTCGGAAATACCGACAGAGCGCTGTGACGCTGCCCCGATCAGAGCCTTCTCCCAGATGTCACACTCGCTCTCATCATCGAAGCGCAACCAAATGGTCTGAGAATGATTTGGTTTAATAAGCCGGATGACAGCGCTCTTGGCGCCTCGCGACCTGACGACGTGACACTTGTGGACTGCAAAGACACCAGCGATGACGTTTTCATTCCCCCTCTGCGATGTATGGACATGATGAGGGCGATAGACCTCATCATCGACGATAAGCACTACGATAGTACCTCTGAGTTCCAACCAATATCGCTCAAACCTGGAGAAAACCGCGAGGCTACGGGCCGTCTTAACATAACCGAACGAACGAACCGTGGCCGGAATTCTCCTCACAAGCGCAAGGGGATCGAAAAGGCGTGGCCCGGGCAGGGACGAAGGCCCATTCATTACTGAGTCTGGGTGTGCGGGCAGCGGAGCACGACTGGGATCATCGAAAGGCTCTGTAGGGCGGCGCGAGGAGCGAGAGAGGGAAGAAGAGAGACCGAGGGACCGGCGGGAGAAGAGAGTCGAACCTGTACGATTGCGGCGTGGTGCGGTGCGGGTGGAGGAGCGGGCGGAGCGGGCGGAACGGATGGAGGAGGGCTCTCGGGAAGATGTGGTGCTAGGGGCGGCAGAGCGCCGCATGGCACGGATCATGATGCGAGCGGGCTGCAGAGCAGAAGATGGGGGGATGGGGAGGGGAAGGGGAAAGGGGTTCGGAAGAAGGAAGAGAAAGGTGGTTATGCAGGGGAGGGTGGGGCGAGGGGCTGGGACGAAGGGGGGCTTGGAGACGTGGGGGAGGGAGGGGGGGGAGAAGAGGGGGGAGTTGGTTTTGAGGAAGTGTGCGGGGAGACGAGTGCGTGGCGCATTGTGAGTATATTTTTAGGCGGGGTGATGCGGATGTGGTTAAAGGCGTGACGAAGTATGAGAAGAAGGGGCAACGCGGAGTGCACTTTTTGAGCTTGTACTTAGTTGGGTTTCAGGGGTTGTGCGATTGGCAACTTGCTGCAGAGTTCGGTCACGGGGCTGCGTCACGAGGTACAGTATCTGGTCTCTCTATTATTTTCTGAAACTCTGAGCGTCGGAATATTTCGTAGGAATTGCCGTGACCAACAGACCCCCGCATGGTGACGTCAGTGCCCCCCGCCGCTTCACATTGGCTACAGGATTACCACTTCGTCTAAGGAGATGACCTAAGCTCGGACCTACCCTTAGGGTAGAGCGACTTTCAGGTTTGCCGTGAATGCCCCAGCGACACACGACTCTTCCCGCGCTATCATGTCGCGCTAGAACTTTGGAGAAAGGGCCAATGAAATGACGCGGCGATGCTTAGAAGTCACGCCAGCAACCTCCCGCCGGTGGACTGACATCCTTCCGCGTTGGACGATGACTCTTCGCATGTTTCCACGTGCGAGTGGACTTGATTTTGGGCGCCCCGCTGCACGTTTCAGGACGCCAAGGACCGAGGCATGTATGATATCGGGCGCTGTGCCACATCGCACGGCCGGCAAACACTTCCTTCATATTGTTTTTGGACGCATCAATGCATTCCTTGGGAACACATCCCCGATGGAACCCATTACAGTGCACTCTCAATCTCTTGTTCCATCAGGCAAAGCGAAAATGTTCTTCAACTTTCCGCTGTAATGCAAGTGCGCGGAGGTCATTCACACACTCATATTCTACGTGCGAACCGCCTCTTCTTACAGCGCCGCCCGGTCTCTGTTCAGCGACAGAACTGTATTTCTCTGTCGGCTTCGGGACTGATACTTGCATAGCGATTTCCACCAGTCTGGGACTGTCTCCCTGCTTCCCCGTCAATTCTAACATGACTTCAATCAAGTGCGGTACAGTATTCGTATGAAGACCCAATTCTGTACTCCGTGTTGTACTGTACTCTTCTATTCATCTCTGACGTTGTCTAATCACGTTTCAGTCGAGTTCACTCCTTAGACGCACCGACGCCGTCTGCTTTTGCAACGCTTCGTTTTATATTCCCTCGAGGAGATGTGTAGACAACGGTAGCAATTGGGATGGGTCGTTGCCTGCTGTTTCATCCATTCATCCATTCCTTCGCTTATCCACGTTTGTCTCCCCAAATTTCAATTTTCTCTTCATGCCTGTCGCCGCCTTCACGTTCACATCAGTATCAAAGCTCCCGCGCATGATTTGTGGTGGTGGATTGCAATTGTGAAAGGTACAGGGGCCTCTCTAGGGCTGCAGTCGTACAGTACCTTCGGCTATGGGTTATCGGTCCTCTGTTGCAACCAACTGGTGCAGCGCTCTGCTGCACTCGCATGCCCCTAGCTCTAGAGTGTCTGGGCGGCCTTCATTTGACCTCCTCTGCATGACGTTAAATGTTTTTGCAACAGAAACAAATATATTAACTCAACCATTCAGCGCAACATCATTCAGTACCAAAACTTTGCCGTCTTTTTCCATGCGTTTCTACTTCGACCAGCCGTCACATGAAATAATTCAAACATCAGTGAAGCCTCCGAGGTCCCCAAAGATGAGGGTGTGGTGTGCCGTCTGCCGAGAACAGAAAGGACTTGAAGAGAGCTCAATAACAATCCATTTTTAGACGATAATAAGGCAATTGTTCAACTACATGCGACTCTTTCGAAAAAATTCTTCAGACAATGCGCTTTTCCGTCTGTCAGAGTTTTTGGCTTAACTGTAGAGCACACATAAAGAAATAACCGTTTGAAAAATCAGCCAGAACTAAGTTTTTGAGTTAAAAATTGACCTCAATGGGCTCACTACCTACATACTTGACTACTTCTTCCTGCACGCGCTCATTGAGTCCACTTTTCTTACCTTGTCTCTCCTCTCAAGACTGTTAACGGCATATGTTCATAACCGCTTCAGCATTCACCTGTTACAACACTTAGTCATGCGGTATCCTTGTACGATATGTCGTCAGACAATGAGTATCTCATCGTGGTATGATCGTTTTTCGTCGTCTGCAAAGCACTGCCAGCCAGACAACATATACAGCACCCAAGGGTACGTCGAAAAATCCTTGCTCGCTGGTGATGGCACCAGCAGTGATGTCTGAACTGGGGCCCCCTCATTTTGCGGGCAACAGACCAAAACCCGAGAGTATTTTGTTTCTTGCCAATACTGTACCCTTCCCCGAGGGGGCAATTTGGTAATTATTTTGACGGAGCCTAACAAGTGTTTTATGGCACTATTCTGGGCTACCATAAAGCGTCTGCTACAGCCAGTGGGATGTCCATGTGCCATAGACGACGAAAGGACGCGGGCGAAAACAACCTGTTTGAAGCCATTTGACATTTTCACACACGTGCAGAAAGGGCTCAAATGAGAACAAGGGGCAATTTGGTATTTTTAGTCATGAACCAGGAAAGCGCCAACAGAGATTGCACAACCTCATTTTCACCCCCTTTACCCTTTCTGAAGGCATGCTTCGAGAGTGTACGGCACATTGCCGCACCGTACCTCGCCCCAAACGTGGGCAAAAAATTCTTGTCGCGTGCGGAAGAGAGCGGGATCTGGTTTTCTGATCCCGACGTTGACTTTGCACGGCCATTTTCACTCGGCAATCGCAGCTGTACGCGCTTGCGTTCCCGTCCTGCCTTCTTCTCAGCTTTGAGTCGCCTTTCAGGAGCTAGTTTTACGTCTCTCTCTTTGCGGATTTCAATTATTTCGTCCAAAATTAGATAGAGAGCAGGTGTCCATATTTGCACATCCACATTTTTCGGACGACGTGCGGTCGAACTCTTACTTTTCGAGGAACGTGTGCTTGTCATAAGGATTTGGTTCACACTCCTGCTCTTGCTCAACAATATTTCAACATCAAGGAGTCATGTTGTGGGGTCATTGGCTGCCTCTAAAATGTTTTTGAGTTTGCAAGAAGTCTGATTGTCGGGGTTGCGAGTTCTACTTGCGACATTTAGTAAAGATACCTGGCAACTTTTCCGGTCAGATGACACCGCATTTGGTCCTTGTCTCTTAAACCTGTCCAGAAATGAAAAAGTCATGGGCCATAACCCCGTCTTTTCGAAGCTAAACTTAATCTTATCAACAGTGATTTCACTGTAAGCCAATGTCGCCACCATCAGATTTGAGCGGACACTTCGCATGTCAAGTGTCGTTTTCTTATGGAGCAAGTCACGGTATTTGCGCATCCCTTTCTTGAAGGACCTGTTAATATCCCGGTCGCGGAGTTGTGTTAGAAAGAGATTCGACGACCTCGCACTTTTTTGCTTGCATATCTCGAGCCACTCGTAGCCTTCTGGCGACGAGTAGCCGTCGAGAGTCATGCATTGAATAAGCTCCAGGGGTATTTTCGTCCTCACAAACGTATCCATATGCTCCATCACAAAGGAAATAATTCTTTTTTCCACACATCCCTTGTCTTTCGTCATGATTACGGTTCCTTGATCGAACCATTTTTTTCATATATCCTCTCCGTTTCAGGGGAATTGCATGCTATTTCGGTCTTTTGGAGTGGCAAGATCCATCCACTCATTACATTCTTACCCTTTAAAATGAAAAACGGTGGTATTTTGTGACCAGACGCAGAAACAGCCACAAAAATTGTACTATGCTTGTTGATTTTTCTAGCTTGACAAGCCACTTACACGCTATGATTAGTAAGTTGGGACCCAAATACCTTAGTTGTCACTACGTATTGGCAGTATACAGCTGTCTCGTCGAGGTCACAAAGTTGCGTTGGGTCCCTGAATATGCTTGGATGGGAATTTTGAACTTTTTCAATGCTTCAGAGAACGATGACATATGTGTAAAATTCTCAGCCGCCAACTTTGCCAAAACTTAGTTCTCACTTTTTCGGCAAGTGATATCTCTATTCACTGTCCGCCAGTGCCGGATAGTGTCTTGAGATGGGCTGCCAAATTATGTGGCAAATCCTGGACGCCCATCAGACGCTATCTCAGTCATAATATTCCGCACATCACTATTTGAAAGTGCGAATCCCTTTTCAGCTGCAGACAAAATCCTTTTCTTAATCAAACTAGACTCTTGTTCACTAATAACTGGGCGGCGTTCTCTGCGATGGGCGTCAAGAAATTGGAGGTCGACGATTCTCGATTCGTGCTCTTGCAGAGCGTGATAAATGCGAGTTACTGTCGCCCCAGGGTACTAGTGTCGCTCTCACGACGACAGACGTTTTCATACCTGTACGAAGGAGCGCGGTGGCCTTCTCTCGCTGCGTTTTTGTCAATGCGTCGCTTTCTTGTGTTGTTTTTTCAATCGCACTCTGTATTGGCATGGAGAATGCCATGACTCACGGATTTCTGGAGTGGAAGTCATGATGTCGTTGCTACAGGAGAGAGGTTGATGAAGGTTGGGACGCCGTGGCGTAGCAGGAGTTTGAATTTGGCCGGACTTCTGCAACGCAGGGCAACTAGGGAGGACGTACTTAGTTGTACGAATAGTGTTGGCATGTGGACGGAGCGTTTTGGAGAATCTGGAAGGAGACTAAAAATTTCCAAATTGCTCCCTACTACCAAGTTGTCCCTTTCATGAGGGTACCACCTTTGCACCCCATGCCTCTCTCGTGTCAAACCGTCAGCAATACAGTAATTTTGTATTCCGCACTTCTGCACTGAGCTCGCGACTTCGGACATATATGCTGCTGTACCCTCAAGGTAGCGAAGGTAGTGTCT